AGGCCAAGGGTCTGGAGGAGGACCAGAGTAAACCCTGCATACCACTGACGCTGCAAGGACAACAATCCCATCCGAAGCTTTTCTTCCTCGTACGCCTAAGTATGTACATCATGTGCGGGCATGCGTGGCGGGACCCCTGCGTGTGTGCGACTCGAGATGCGCAGCAGTCGTGTTCGGATTCGGCCGAGCCACGCTGCGGGCCGGGGGAGGGGGTGACACTCAATGGCGGTGCCCGGCAGGGGGCTGAAGGGTATGGTGCGCGGCGCTCGGGCGAGGGCACGAACTGGGAAAGGGGCCGCCCTGCGTTATTGCAGCTGCTGGGGGCAGCACGCTCTATGCGGGGAAACGTAGGACTCGAGTAAGCCAGAACTCGGGTTTGCCGACGCTTTTTGACGAGCGCATCCTGGATTCTGACGGACCAGTTTTCGTGGGATGTCTGCAGCGGGAGCCCGCGTCAAATTTCAGATTGGGTCTCGCCATTTTCATGATGGCCACGTCAGGCCAACCCGAGTCCCCCGAACCCGAGTCTTACGTCTCCCCGATTTCTGATCTTTGACCGCCTGTAACCTGGGGGGCCCAATGCAGAGTGCGCAGCCCTTCAGATATGCTGAGGATGTCGCAGTCGAAGCCCCAGGCCCGCCCAACCGAGACGTCGGACAGTGCGACGGGGGGATGTGACCCACAAGGCGCAAGAGGTGTGAGGGTGGAAGGGGAGCAAGATGAGCAGGATGCTGATGATCAAGAGGGGGAAGACAAAGCCAGCGACGAGAATGAGGGGAAGGTTTGGCCTCTTCCGACCTGCGGGGAAGACCCACCTGCGCATGGCTCAGCGCAAAGCCCCCTTCCCGCCTCGAAGACCCGGATGAGGAATAATGCAGGGGAACGAGCAACGACCTGAACAGAATAACTCGGAGGTCCTCGCGGGTTTCTCGGATCGGCGCTGTGACCCCTTGGCGGCTCCTGGGGTCCCATGGGAGAGATCCGACGTATTGCAGTTCTCCATGCGGGGTCGCCAGGAGTCTGGACCCCTTCCCTGGGGCCCGCTTCTGATCCTGAGAGTCGTTCCTGTGGACGGTGCCGGGGCCCGGCGAGGGAACGCGACGGGGGCCGAGAAGGCCGTGAAGCATTCCCGATTTCTGTAGGTGAAAAGTGATCGTTTTATGATTCGTTGTTTTGCTGATCGGCGCGGGCCCTCGCATCCCCATCCCCCCCCCCTGGAGTACATCTTGCCTGTTTTGGGGGCCAGTTTCGAGCAGCTGGGGTCTCCCCCATAGGATGCACTGTTGCGAACAGCCGCATTCAGCAGAAGTCCGGAGCCAGACCCCCCCCCTCCCCCCCCTTCCGCTGAATGGCCAAACACCGAACAAGAAAACATTCACAATTGTGTGGAAGTTCGCAACAGTTTGAAATTTCCGAAAACTATTTTTTCCCTGATAGCGTGTCTCTGCAGGGTTCTCACAGAGGTTAGCACAACCACGGAAGAGTCCCCCAGGCGCGGCGAGGAGCCCTATAGTCTGCCTGATCTGGCAGCCGTTTCGCCGGAGACTTCCTCACACTGTGTTCCGGAGTTTTGCTTCCACATACATGCAGGCTACATCTGCGCCACAAATACGCCAAAGTGCAAACGTCCGTGCTCTCATCCCCGTCCCCTCTCCTCGACCCGCCTCTTCACACTTGCTGCTCTCAGGGTGCCTTGCTGTTGCATCATCCCAATACGCCAAGGTGCAGATGTCCGTGCTCTCATCCCTGCCCCCTCTCCTCGACCCGCCTCTTCACGCTCTGCTGTTGCATTATCCCAATGCGTCGGAGACCTGGGGCGCGGCGGGCGCCCAGGTAGCTTCTACTACCACAACCCAGACACCGGCGAGTCCTCGATGCAGGAGCGCGACGCGGGCGCGGGCGCCGAGGAGGAGGAGGAGGAGGAGGAGGAGGAGGAGGAGGAGGAGGAGGAGGAGGAGGGAGGGGCGCTGCCCGTGGTGTCCTCCTCTTTGGCCTGATCGCGGGGCGGGGCGGGACCTTCCTCCTCCTCCTCCTCCTCCTGCTTTCGCCGTCTCCGGCATCATCGTCCACCACCGCCTTCATCCGTTTTCTCCTTCCTCCCCCTCCTTCCTCCCCCTCCTCCTCCTCCCTCCTCCTCCTCCTCCTCCTCTCCTCCTCGTCCTCGTCCTCCTCCTCCTCCTCCCCCTCCTCCTCCTCCTCCTCCTCCTGCTCCTCCTCCTCGTCCTCCGCCCCTCTCCCGCTCCGCCGGCGGCGGCTCAAAGGAGTGCCTCCCTCGCCGCCCCGCCCCCCCCCGCCCCCCGCGCGCCAGCCCGCGGCCGCCCCGCGCCACCCCCGGAAGCAGGGCGGCGGGCACCTCCCGCGCCCATCGGGGGGGGGCCCTCGCTGCGACCCTGCGGGCTCACCCCGCCCTGGGCTCTACCTCCTCCCTCCGCGCGCAGGGCCCGAGGACGCGACGCTCCAACAAAAATGGGAGCGGCGGGATTTGGGCAGTTCTGGGCTCCCAGGGGCCTTCGCCGGGCCCAGGGAGCGTTCAAGAGTGAGTCAGGACGAGAAACCGGCCCTGGGGAAGCCGACTGGACCTCCCGGGCCCACGAATCGAAAAAAATTGAGCAGCCGGATGTTTGGGGAGGAGGAGGGAGGGGGGAAGACAAGCTGGGTGCGCTATAACGTTACATCTGACATCCTTTACCATAGCGTAGATATCCGATCTATTCGCACAGTCGGATGTCGAGAAGCGTTCTGGTCCAAGAGGATGCGCGATTGATGGAACAGCATGGCGTAGAAGAGCACGGAAGAGCATATCATGTCATAGTATTGCGTGGCATTGCGTAGTGAAGCATTGCATCACAAAGCAAAGCAACGCAAAGCAACGCAAAGCATGGCATCGCACAGCGTTGCACAAGACAGCATCGCATTGCATGCCGTGGCATGGCAAGGCACCAGATGATTTGGAGGGTCAGTGGCCCTTCTGCGAGAGGACAGGGCCTGTCCAGAATGCCGGCTCCATGTCCTCCACAACCGTACCTTCCCGATGTGGGCAATTTCGAATGCCAAGTGCCGTCCGGAGGCGCGGGAACACGATCTTGAATGACCGAAGCGCGTAAATGAGGGCGGCGCTGCAGCGGGAACACCGTTTTGGAAGGGCCAGAAACGATTGGATTGAAAACAACAGAGGAAACAAGAACATCAAAACGTGAAACCTTGTGTGTAAAGAAGAACGATACGCGGGGAGGACGGGACACCCTCCGGAAAGAGGCAGGGCAGAGAGGAGAGTAGTATTCGTATTGTGTGAGGTTAGAGGGGCGGAGGAGGAGGAGAAGGAGGAGGAGGAGGAGGAGGAGGAGGAGGAGGAGGAGGAGGGAGGAAGGAGGAGGAGGAGGAGGGAGGGAGGTCAGAGGAGGAGAAGATGCCGGCGCCGCGGCTCGTCGTGGAGGTCCCTCGTCGCCGTGGCCGACCTCCCTTCGGACCTCTGGTCCGAAGGCGCCCCAGGAGAGGTCCTGGGAGCAGCGGCGTCGGCATCTCTTGGCTCCCCCAAGAGGGTAGGAGGGAGGGGCAGGGCCCTCCATCCCCCTCTCCTGCTTCTCCTGCTCCTGCTCCTCCTCCTCCTCCTCCTCCTCCTCCTCCTCCTACTCCTCCTGCTCTTCCTCCTCCCCTTCCCCCTCCTCCTCCTCTTCCCACTCCACCTGCTCCTCCTCCTCCTGATCCTCCTCCTCTTCCTTCTTCTCCTCTTTCTCCTCAATGACGTTGCGCTAATTCAAGGACGAAGCCTGCAGCCTCCTCCTCCTCCTCCTCCTCCTCCTCCTCCTCCTCCTCTCTCGTCTCCTCCTCTCTCTCCTCCTCCTCCTCCTTCTCCTCCTTCTCCTCCTCCTCCTCCCCCTCCTCTTCCTCCGGACAGAAGGAATGAGGGCGGCGAGGGACAGCAAGAGGAGGATGAAGAGGTGTTCGTGGTTCTGGAGGGACTGGGTGTGACGGTATCTGGCGGCTCGATGGGGTTCTAGGGGTGCTAGAGGGTTGAGGGGGAGGAGGGGGACGAGGACAAGGAGGAAGGGGAGCAGGAGGAGGGCGGAGAGTAGTAACAATTGAATTGAGGAAAAGGATCAGGAGGAAACGGAGGGACAGCACCATTGACCAGGGAAGCGCAGGAGGGCATGTCCGTCCGCCCCTCCTCCCTCGCGGGGTCATGAGTTCGAAGTCCAAACCCGGCCGACCTGCTCTCCACCCCCGCCTGTTCCCTCGCCGCCCTGACAAATCATGGCTGCCGGTTGCCCGAGTTCTGTGCTTTCTGCTCCTGGGGGGCTGTCCTCGGGCCCCCTGGCCCAGCAGACAACATCCATCGACGCAGCACTGGACCCGGGAATGCCGTCGAGAGTTCTGGGGGCCCACGTTGCGAACAAATCGCGACGTCGGGGGTCCGGGCACGTGCACTACCTTGGCCAGGGCAGTGGTGGTGCCCAGGATCAGTGCCTGTGGGTAGTTGGTGTCCTTTCACCGTCGGAAGCGAGGGAACGGGGAGAATGGGAAGGGGGTGATTAGATTTTCGTTTTGGGCACCTTCCCGGGGTCCACCTAACAGATCTGGTTGACTCGAATTCGACTCAAGTTCGACTCAGTTTCGACTCAAGCTCGACTCAGGTTCGACTCAAGCTTGACTCAGTCGACGGATGTTCGACGCAGCTTCGACGCACGAGTGGAGCGAGTGGCTTCAATTAGGTCCCCAGAATGAGCATCTAAGGAAGGGGGTGTGTCGGACCCGTGGGCGCACCGACGGTCTCTCTTATTTCACGCCATGCCCAAGATCGCCGACTTCCCCTGGACCGACAGCCAGATCGTGGACATCGCGCGGGCGTACCCCACGCCGTTCCACCTCTACCACGAGCAGACCATCCGGGACCAGGTGCGGAACCTCAACAGGGCCTTCGCGTGGAGCCCGGGCTACAAGAACTACTTCGCCGTGAAGGCCACGCCGAACCCCTACATCATGCACCTGCTGCGCGAGGAGGGATGCGGCGCGGACTGCTCGTCGATAACAGAGCTGGTGATATCCGAGAAGATCGGCCTCACCGGGGAGGACATCATGTTCACCAGCAACAACACCCCGATCAAGGAGTTCGAAGACGGGACAGCAAGACGGCGTATCGGCGGCGAGCGAGGGGGGAAGTGAGACGGAGGAGGCCTTCTCAGAAGGCGGCGGGACTTCTCAGAAGCCCTCCCGGCCTCTCAGAAATGTTCTACGTTTTCGGGGAAGGTTTTGACAACTTCTCAGAAGGCCCGAGGCGTTCCGAGCCTTCTGAGACGGCCCGCCCCTTTTCACTTCCCCCCAGGCTCGCCGCCGAGCGTACAGCATAATCACATCTTTTCGCAGCTGGGGGGTGACTTTTTGGATCTGCGCGGGTCCCACCTGGCGGCGCCCCTGGCGTCGCCCCTGGCGCGCCCAGAAAGGGAGGGCCCAGCGCCGATCCAAGAAATCCGCGCGGACCTCCGAAGGGGTGTGTGCTTACTGTGTTTTTGTCCCTGTAGGAGTTCCGGAAGGCGAAGCAGCTCGGGGCAATAGTCAACCTCGACGACCTCTCGCACGTCCGGTTCCTCCATGAGCAGGACGGACTCCCAGAGCTGGTCAGCTTCAGGTACAACCCTGGCCCACAGCGGACGGGCAACGTTCTCATCGGGGACCCCAAGGAGGCAAAGTTCGGGTTCACTATGTCGCAGCTGCGGGAGGGCTACAAGCTCTGCAAAGAGCTTGGCGTGAAGCGCTTCGGACTTCACGCGATGGTTGTGTCCAACTGCCTCAATGTTGAGGAGATCGTGGAGACCGCGCGCATGCTCTTCACGATTGCCGGCCAGGTGAAGAGCGAGCTGGGCATCCAGATAGAGCTGGTAAATTTGGGCGGGGGCATCGGCATACCGTACAAGCCTGGAGAGCAGGTCATGAATGTGGCTGCGATCGGCACAGGCGTGCACCAGGTGTACAAGGAGCTCGTGGAGGCAAAGGGGCTCGCCCCGATGAGGATCGTCACGGAGTGTGGGCGCTACGTGACTGGGCCTGCAGGCTTCCTGGTGTCGCGCGTGGTGCACAGGAAGCGCATCTACAAGAACTACGTCGGCGTCGACGCCTGCATGGCCAACCTGATGCGCCACGGCCTCGGAGTGCAGACAGCGGTGTTGATCACGACACGGTAGTCGATTGATCGCTTAATCATTACGCCCGCAGGGCGGGTTTTGCAGTCACTGGGTGTTCGGTGGCAGCGTTCCGACGGAGTCGGTGCCAACAGTTGCAGCTTCTGTGGATGCCTTCTCGGCGTCCCATGGGGATCTGGTGGTCTTGAGAATCCGCTGCAGAGGGCCGCTGCGGGTCCATATGACACAAAGTGCGTGAGGGGTGATCCTCATTGCGGCTCCCTTCAGCCGTCTTGAGGGGCCTGCTGAGGGCCTCGGTGGCCTATGGCGCTCGAGGTGCTTGAGGGGTGCTCGGAGTTGAGGCCCCCTTCAGCCGTATCGAGAAGCCAACCGAGCACGAAGCGCGTGATGAGTGCGACGAATGATGGTTGGTTCCCTTCGGCCGTCTTCGGGAGCCAACCGAGGGCATCTGGGCAAGTGTATCCTTGCGGCACGAAGTACGTGAGGGGTGCGCCGACTTCGAGCTTCCGTGATTCGTCTTGAGGAAAAGTCTGAGGGCCTCGCCGGGTGCATGAGGCACGAGGTGCCAGATGGGTGTGCCGAATCGAGGCCCTCGCAGAGAGAAATGCGCGTCGCACATCGCGGGGCGCGAGGCGCCAAGTTAGGCGACCTAGACTGCGTATTCTGGCGCGTCCCAAGAGAGTTATCGGGCATGACATGGCGGATGCACCACGGGACGCGCGGGGCCACTCCCGGCATGAAGGTTGCATGTGGGTTTGCTGCCCTCCACTGCGCCGCCATCGTTTCATCATCCAACCCGTGAAAGTCGACACGGCCGAGGCCGCCTTGTTCCCGCTGCGATCCCGCAGGGGGCCCACCGAGTTGAGCCCGCAGAGCGGGAGTCAGGCGCGCCCCCAAAGGGGAAGGCAGCACGCAGATGTTAGCAGTCCGCTAGTGCTCGGGGGTACGACTTCGACGAGGGATGGTACCGATCGCTGCAATTTGTTATCAAGCCCATCCTGGTATTCCATGGATGGGTGAGCGGTCTTGGAAGCCACCTCAGGGTTTCTGGGGGTCCATGGGCGTGAGGGGTGTGCGGTATTGAAGCCCCCTTGAGCCACCTGGAGAGCTCTTGGGGGGGCCACCGAAGGGCCTTTGTCGGATGTGGCTAGGATGAGGATGCATCCGTTCCAGAGCGCTACGGAACGCTCTGAGAAGGCCGCGGCGCCCGAGGCAGCCTCCAGAGCCGCGGGATCGTAGAGATTCTCGATCTATCCGTACCCGATCCTTCCTCCTCCTGGCTTCGTCTTACTTTGTGCGTCCATGGGGCACGGGGTGCATGAGGGGTGCGCCGAACGAAGTCCCCTGTGTGCCGTCTGGAGCGGCCGTGTGCCGTGGGCTGCCCGCCTTTCCTCCCTCCCTCCCCCGCCGTTCCCCCGCCTCTCCTCCCCCGCCTCTCCTCCCTCCCTCCCTCCTCCTCCTCCTTCTCTTCCTCCACTGTGCCACTGGGCTTTCTCCCGCTCGTTTTTCCCAACCATCCTGTGGTGTTGGGTCCTCGTTTTGAAGAGACGGTGCCCCGCGTCCTCTCCTCTCCTCCTCCTCCCCCTCCTCCTCCCTCCTCCTCCCTCTCCTCCCTCCTCCCTGCGTTTCACCCACCCATTACAGCGCTTCGTGGCTCCATAGGGAGCTCCACCGAAGGCCCCAGCGGCAGGGTCCGCATGCAGTTCCACCTCCATTTCGGCGCCCCCCTCACACGTTTCGTGGCCCCATAGGGTGCTCCACCGAGACCCCAGTGGCAGGGTCCGCATGCAGTTCCACCTCCATTTCGGCGCCCCCTCACACGTTTCGTGGCCCCATAGGGTGCTCCGCCGAAGGCCCCAGTGGCAGGGTCCGCATGCAGTTCCACTTCCATTTCGGCGCACCCCTCACACGTTTCGTGGTCCCATAGGGTGCTCCGCCGAAGGCCCCAGTGGCAGGGTCCGCATGCAGTTCCACCTCCATTTCGGCGCACCCCTCACACGTTTCGTGGCCCCATAGGGTGCTCCACCGAAGGCCCCAGTGGCAGGGTCCCCTGCAGTTGCAGTTCCACCTCCATTTCGGCGCACCCCTCACACGTTTCGTGGCCCCATAGGGTGCTCCACCGAAGCCCCAGTGGCAGGGTCCGCATGCAGTTCCACCTCCATTTCGGCGCACCCCTCACACGTTTCGTGGCCCCATGGGGTGCTCCACCGGGCGCACCCCTCACACGTTTCGTGGCCCCATAGGGTGCTCCACCGCCCCAGTGGCAGGGTCCGCATGCAGTTCCACCTCCATTTCGGCGCACCCCTCACACGTTTCGTGGCCCCATAGGGTGCTCCGCCGAAGGCCCCAGTGGCAGGGTCCGCATGCAGTTCCACCTCCATTTCGGCGCACCCCACACGTTTCGTGGCCCCATAGGGAGCTCCACCGAACGGCCCCAGCGGCAGGGTCCGTGCAGTTCCACTTCCATTTCGGCGCACTCCTCACACGTTTCGTGGTCCCATAGGGTGCTCCACCGAAGGCCCCAGGGGCAGGGTCCGCATGCAGTTTCACTTCCATTTCGGCGCACCCCTCACACGTTTCGTGGCTCCATTGGGTGTTCCGCCGCGCACCCCTCACACGCTTCGTGGCCCCATAGGGTGCTCCGCGGAAGGCCCCAGTGGCATGGTCCGCAGGCAGTTCCACTTCCATTTCTTCGCACCCCTCACCACACGTTTCGTGGCCCTATAGGGTGCTCCGCCGAAGGCCCCAGTGGCAGGGTCCGCATGCAGGTCCACTTCCATCTCCGCGCACCTCTCGCACGTTCCGCGGCCCCATAGGGTGCTCCACCCAAGGCCCCCGTGGCAGGTCCGCATGCAGTCCCCCCTCCATGTCGGCGCACCCCTCACACGTTTCGTGGCCCCATGGAGTGTTCCACTCAGGGCCCCAGTGGCAGGTTCCGCATGCAGTTCCCTCTCCATTTCGGCACACCGTTTCCACGTTTCGCGGCCACCAAAGGCCCTGGTGGCAGCGCCCGCACGTGGTTCCACCCTGCATTTCCGCGCACCCCTCACACGTTTCGTGGCCTCAAATGGGGCTGCAACGACGGTTCCGGTGGCAGCGTCCGCATGGCGTACCCGTGCCAATTTTGGCACCCCCGTCACACGCGTCGTGGCCCCAGAGGGAGGTTCACCGAGGACGATACCCACACCTGCGTTACACACAGCTGCACATGGTTGGGTCCTTCGCCGGAATAATTTATTTAGTTATTTATTCTTTAATGCCGCCTGGAGCGGCCAGGCGAGGCTGGAGGCAGGAGCGGCCAGAGGAGGGAGCGGCCAACCGAGGCCCCGGCATGTAAGAGGAGGAGGAGGGGGCAGAATGAGGAAGAAGGGAGGAGGAGGGGAGGAGGAGGAGGAGGAGGAGGAGGAGGAGGAGGAGGCAGAAGGAGGAAGAATGGGAGAGGAGGAGAAGAGAATGAGGAAGAGGGAGGAGGAGGAGGAGGAGGAGGAGGAGGAGGAGGAGGAGGAGGAGGAGGGAGGAGGAGGAGGAGGAGGAGGAGGAGGAGGAGGAGGGAGGGAGGAGAGGGAGGCGGAGAAGGAGGAGGAGGAGGAGGAGGAGGAGGAGGAGGAGGAGGAGGTGGAGGAGGAGGAGGAGGAGGAGGAGGAGGAGGAGGAGGAGGAGGGAGGAGGAGGAGGAGGAGGCGGCCAGCCGAGGCCCCGGCATGTACGACGCTTACCACCACATCACAACCTACAAGGACGAGGCGCCCCCCGCGGGCCTGCCTCCAAGGGGGGCAGCCGCCCCGGACAACTCGGGGGACCTGATCCAGAAGCAGGCGCGGCCCCCCCCTCCTCCCATCCTCCTCCATCCTCCTCCATCCTCCTCCTCCTTCTCCTCCTCCTCCTCCTCCTCCTCCTCCTCCTCCTCCTCCTCGTCCCGAAGCAGACCCAATGCAGGCCTGGGTGGTTTGGCCGTTTGTAACAAGCACGCAATGGTGGCTCCGTGGCTGTTCCAAAGGATTCCGATTGTGAGGCTTTCCGATCGAATCCCGTGTGGCGCTTTCACGCCACGCACGGAGCACGGAGTACGGCCACGCAGAGACGCATTTCGATGCGGGCAGATGATTGCAAACATGCTGCGCAACAGCCTCCATGCGGCATGCACCCCTAGAGAAGGATTGCCTCGACTTCAGCCATGACCTTGAGGCCATCATGTCCTTTCGACCGCCTGGCGGCGCGTGCGTGGACCGCGAAGGCAATGAAGCTCGCGCTCCCGACGGTGGGTTTATTTTTCGGAGCATGGCAAGACGCGTCAACCGAGCAAGCACAGGTTCTAGCCCGTCCCAGTCACGACGGGATAACTTGTCACACCAGGTTGGATTTGCCGCCCATGCCTTCGGACTCGACCCCTGGCCGCGCATGTCTGAATGCATAGTGCGCTCCAAGGCGCGCGGTGAGCGCACCGAGCGAAGTGCCAGCTGCAGCGCTGGACCCCGCGCCTGCGCAGTGTCTGCGCTGCCAGCACAACTGCAAAGCAGCCATTCAGGCGAGACTTGTGCGAGCTGAAGGGGCGCGCCAATAGGCGTAATGTCGCCGCCGTTTCCCCTTCTTTGTATTCTTGCTTACGCAGCTCGACCATGCAAATTCGGACGACTCGACTGCACTGGCCGTGTTGCAAAGGTTGATTGGCTACGACTGGACCTCCAATTAAACCTGACATTTGTCAGCATCCTCCTCTTCATGCTGCTCCCTCTGAAACTGACCAGAGCCCTCAGATCCCCGCAGGTCCGCATAAATCTAACGCCTCCTCGTTCTTCTTGTTCTTTCCCTTCACCCTCCCTCCTCCTCCTTCTCCTTCTCCTCCTTCTCATCCCCTCCCTTTCGAGCCTTGGCAGGGCGTCTTCGACGTCGTCGGCGGCCTTTGCGAGAACAACGACAAGTTCGCGGTGAACAGGCGCCTCCCGCAAGCAACTAGCCGAGAAGCAAGCATCACTGGTGGCCCCGAGAGGGGACATCTGAGAAAGTGGGGGGAGGTTGCGGGGAATGTCAACAGATGTTTGCAGGCGTTCGCAATGTTTATACGTTTTTGGATCCTACCCTCTCCGCTCCCAGAGGGGAGGCATTGGTTGTGTGTCGTTGGCTTCCCAAGCTCACCTCGAGGAAGCGGACAAGTGGATTGGCAACGTGTGGATCAGTGATGGGTGCCGCTTCCGTGCGGAACCGGCCCGCTCCGTGGCCAAATCGGGCAGCGTTGGTTTCACGTCTCGGGGGGGATATTCTCCGATCCGTGGATCTGACGCCTTGGTCCATGACAGCGTGCAGGGCTGGACCTAAACGATGTTTTTGGTGATTTCGTGGGCCGTTTCCGTTTCGACTTCGTTTTGCGGTGAAGGTGGATTCGCTTGATGCGTGACGGCGCGACGACGCGCTTTGGGTTCCCCACCGATCTTGCGTGCCTCCGCCGCGTCGCCGCGCGCGCGGCCGCGACGCCCAAAACTTGCGTCTGCGTGTGTATGTATGTATGCATGCATGTATGTACGTATGTATGTACGTATGTATGTATGTATGTATGTATGCATGTTTGTTTGTATGTATGTGTGTATGTGTGTATGTATGTATGTATGTATGTATGTATGTATGTATGTATGTATGTATGTATGTATGTATGTATGTGTGTGTATGTATGTATGTATGTATGTATGTATGTATGTGTGTATGTATGTCTGTATGTATGTATGCATGCATGTATGTATGTATGTATGTATGTATGTATGTATGTATGTTGTATGTATGTATGTATGTACGTATGTATGGATGGATGGATGGATGTATGTATGTATGTAGGTATGTATGTATGTATATATATAGTTATATATATATATGCATGTATATGTATGTATGTATGCATGCATGCATGCATGTATGCATGTATGTCTGTCTGTCTGTCTGTCTGTCTGTCTGCATGCATGTATGTATGTATGTATGTATGTATGTATGTATGTATGTATGCATGTATGTATGTATGTATGTATGTATGTATGTCGGTACTGTATGTTTGTGTGTGGTGGTAGGTGTTGTGTTCGTCTTGCAAGGCATGCTTTGCGTGGTCGCCACTGCGTTTCCTGCATGCGGCTCGCCTTGCGTAGTCCTCCAATCTGCAGCTTCGGGTAGAATTGACGCTCAGCATGCCCCGTTTTAGTTTTCTCTCCAGTGATGTCATTCGGCCGCTGGATTGAAACATGTGTTAGTGTTCGTGTGTTTTCGTACGTGTGCCTGGGTGAATGCGTGGACCCAGAAATTCGACGTGGCAACAACATACCCAATCATGAAACATTACGGCTGGGATACCAAACCACCCCATCTTTCTGCGCCATTCCTCGAACCACGAATTTGTGACGGTGCCGAGGCCCGCAACAAGGCAGAATAGCCCAATGTGAAAAGCTACGCGGCGCATGGCTCTCAGGGGAGGCCCTGGGCCCCGGCCGAGTCCGGGCTCCCCCCGCAGGCCCCTCGACCCGGAGCCGAGGGTGGGCGACGTCCAGCTCCTCAGCGGGCCCCCGACAATCCGATCGGGCATCGGCTGGCGCGTCGTCTTCGCCCGCCGCGGGCCGCAGTCGCCGCCCGTCGCCAGTGTCGCCGCAAGTCGTCGTCATCCTGCCCCGGCTCGGGGATGAGGAGAAGGAGGACTGGGAGGATGTGGGCAGGAGGAGGAGGAGGGGAGGGTAGGTTAGGGCAGGGCAGGGGATGGGAATTGGGGGGGAGGGAGAAGGACGAGGACGAGGAGGGGGGCGAGGAGGAGGAGGAGGAGCAGGAGGAGGAGGAGGAGGAGGAGGAGGAGGAGGAGGACGGGGAGGAGGGAAGGGGGAGGAGGTGGAATGGGGAGCAGGGGAGGGAGGAGACGGAGGAGGAGGAGGAGGAGGAGCAGGAGGAGGAGGAGCAGGAGGAGGAGGAGGCAGAAGGAACGAGTGGGATGCGGAGGTGAACGGGGGGAAGAGAAGGAGGGGGAGGAGGAGGAGGATGATCGGGTGGTTGAGGGAGTTCTCCTCCGTTTGTCATATTCCTCCCGTCCTCCATTGTTATATCCAGCTAGTTAGAGGGATACTGATCTATGTGGGACGTCTGTTGATATGCATAGATGCACACAAACATATCCCGGGGTACAGGGAATCTCCCCTCAGGAATTGGCCAGCCTTCCCCCTGTGGCGGTGCCGGGGTGGGGGGGGACGGGGCCTCGGACAGCCCCGGGATAGCCCCGGATGGTCCACGGTTGTTTCCAAGACGGTCCAAGAGGCGCCCGAGACGGCCCAAGATGCCCGCAAGACGCCGTAAGAATGCTCCAGTGGAGTTCCCAAGAGGGCCCCGGAGGCCATATTTGACCCACTCCTCAAGCGTAGATGTTTAAGTGCATTCTCATTTCGTTTCAGCAGCGTCCGAGACGGCCCAGGACGTCCCCAACATGGCCCAAAAGGCCACCACGTGTGCCTTGGCGCCCGAAACGGCCCAAGAGAGAGGACCCTGAGAGGGAGGGCCCCATGGAGGGGCCTAAAAATCAACCCCAAGGGCGAACTCGACCTGACTTTCCGAGCCCTCCGCCCCAAGAGGGACCCTGAGACCGCAAGCAGGCTCTCCAGAAACCCCCAAGATGCCCCAAGAGGCCCCCCGAGAAGCCACAAGAGGCCCGACGAGTTCGTCGACACGGCCCCCAGAGACCCCAGAGAAGGCCTTCAGTGGTTGTGTTTAGGCTCTTTCGGTGCCCCAGAAAGCCAAGGAAAACGTTCAAATAACATTGGCTCATCAGCGGGCTTCGCGAAACGCTGGTACAGACTCATATTTTTCGTACCACCCCCATGTGGGAACGCTGTGGGCGTTCACTTGGTCGCAGCAGAATCGTGTTCGCCGCTCCTCTTTCTCCTTTCCTTCTCCTCCTCCTCCTCCTCATCCTTTTCCTCTTCCTCTTCCTCTCTCTCTCTCTATATCTCTCTCACTCTCTCTCTCTCTCTCTCTTTCTCTCTCTCTCTCTCTCTCTCTCTTCCCCCCCTCCTCCTCCCCCTCTCCTCATTATCGTACCCCTCTATGTCTTCCTCGTGTTCTCATTTACCTCGTCATCATCGTCCATCTCTCCTTCCTCCCTTTTGAAGTGCCGTCGCCCGCAGCGCGCCAGAACCTAAGCGCGCACGAAGCGCGAGGGTGGTTCAAGCACATGTGTGTATGTGTGTAGGTATATTTGTATATGGTTATGCCGATGTCTGTGCACGTGTCTGTATATGTGTGTATATGTATATATACATATAGTTATGGATGTATATGTATAGGTATGTGTATATGTACATGTATGTTTACTTGTATAGTTATGTGGATATGTATTTGTATATTGATACGTAGATGTATGTGAATATGTAGATGCCTATGCAGATGTAAGTGTAGATGTAGATGTAGATTTAGATTTATATTCATACGTATACGTACATGTATGTAAACGTATGTCAGACAGAACGCGCTCTGTGGGTGCTCGGAGGGGGGGGAGAGTTTGGAACCAGACCCCTCCCCCAGGATTGAAGGGGAGGGGGGGGTTCGAACCCCCCTCCCCCCTTCTCCCGTGACGGAGGGGGGGATTCGACCCCCCCCCCCCCCCCTGACTCTCTTCCCTCCTCCCCTACTTCTCCTCACCCTCTTGAAGAGGGCCTCTTCTCTGGCCGGCGCCGGCGTCGGCGGCGGCTGGCGGCGGCGGCGGCTTCTCTTGGAGCGGTGGTGTGGTGGTTTGTGGTGGTGGTGGTAGTTGTGGTGGTGGGTTGTGGTGGTGGTGTTGGTGGCGGTGGTGGTGTGGTTGTTTGTCGTGTTGGCTATGGTGGTGGTGGTGGTAGTGTTTGTGGCGCGGGGGGGGGAGTTGTGGTGGTGGTGGTGTGGTGGTTTGTGGTGGTGCTGCGTTGTGGTGGTGGTGATGGTGGTGGTGGCGGTAGTGGTGGTGGTTGTGGTGTGGTGGTATGTTGGGGTGGTGGTGGTAGTGGTGGCGGTGGTGGTGGTGGTGGTGGCAGGTTGTGGTGGTGGTAGTGGTTGTGGCGGTGGTGGTGGTGAGGGTGTGGTGGTTTGTGGTGGCGTTGGTGGTGGGGTGGTGGGGTGGTGGTTTGTGGTGGTGGTGGTGGTGTCGTGTTTTGTGGTGGTGGTGTTGGTGGGTTGTGGTGGTAGTGGTGGTGGTGGTGGTGGTGGTGGCAGGTTGTGGTGGTGGTGGAGATGGTGGATGTGGTGGTGGTTGTGGTGATGGTGTGGTGATTAGTGGTGGTGGTGGTGTGGTGTGGTGGTTTGTGGTGGTGGTGGTGAAGTGGTTTGTGGTGGTGGTGGTGGTGGTGGTGGATGGTGGTGGTGATAGTGGGGCTGGGGGTTGTGGCGGTTGTGGTGGTGGTGTGGTGGATTGCGGTGGTGGTGTTGGTAGTGGTGTTGTGTTGTTGTGGTGGTGGTGGTGGGTTGTTGCTGTGGTGGTGGCTGTGGTGGTGGTGGTTGTGTGGTTGTTTGTGGTTGGGGTGGGCGTGGATTGTCGTGGTAGTGGTGGTTGTTGTGGTGGCGGTTATAGTGGCCCTGGAGTGGTGGTTTGTGGTGTTGGGAGTGGTGTTGGTGGTGTTGCTGGTTGTGGTACTGGTGGTGGGTGGTGGTGGTGGTGGTGGCCGTGGTGGTTGTGGTGGTGGTGGTGGTGGTGTGGTTGTTGGTGGTGGTTTGTGGTGGTGGTGGTGGGTTGTGGTGCTGGTGGGTTGTGGTGGCGGTGATGGTGGTGGTCTGGTGGTTTATGGTGTGGGTCGTGGTGGTTGTGGTGGGTTGTGGTGGGTTGTGGTGGTGGTGGTGGTGGCAGTTGTGGTGGTGGTGGTGATGTAGTGGTTTGTGTTGGTCGTGGTGGTGGTTGGTTGTTGTGGTTGTGGTGGCGGTGGTGATGGCGGTGGTGGTGTTGGTGGTGTGGTGTTTTGTGGTGGTGGTGGTGTGGTAATGTGGCCTTCAGGTCTTCCCACCACCGTGTCTTGGCTTTGGGTCACAGTCCTAATGGATGCCTCTTGGGTCTCGTCAGAGCGGCCTCAGGGGCGTCTGAGGGGCGTCTGGGCGCCTCTTTGGCGTCTCCTGGAACTTCCTAAGGGCCCCCGGTGGCTTTTGGGAAGCGAGGGCTCGATATGGCGATTTGTATGTTCCCGCCGCGGCCTCCGGATCTCTCTGGTCATCGTCGCTGCGTCCCCGCCGTTGGTGCTGCCGGCCGGCGCCGGCGCAGGCGCCAGCACCGGCACCAGGGGGAGGGGGTGTTCGAACCCTTCCCCACCTCCCCCGGGATGCCGGAAGAGAAAAAATTAGGGGAGTTTGAATCTCCTACTCCTTTCCCGTTGGGGGGGTTTGGGGATGGGGGGGGTGCGGGGGGAGGGGGGCCCTCGGTTCTGATCGACGGCGCCGAATGTTTTGGGGGGGGGGGGGGGGCCCGGTTCGAAACGCGTCGCCGAATGTTCCCAAGGCAAGCGCCCGTGAAACGCGCTCTCTGTAGATGTATATGTACATTTTCATGTAAACACGTGAGTCTATGTACATATTTTTATGTATATATAATGTACATTTGTGATATACATAAATCTACACTGTATACCATATATAAGTAAACATACATATGAAAACGTACGTGTGTATATACAGCACCCCGCCATTGCAGATGAGAGTGTGGAGTTCAGGAGGGAGAGGAAGAGGAAGGGGAAACGGAGCTACGACCAGGCGCTTCTTCGGACAGTCCTCCTTCCAAGTGCGCCCTTCCAGCGTGCCCTCCTGGCGCGCACCCCCAGCTCGCCATTCCAGCGTGACCTCCCAGCGTGCCCTCTCAGCGTGCCCTCCCAGCGCGCCCTCCCATACCCTCCCAGCGTGCCCTCCCTGCGTGCCCTCCCAGCGCGCCCTCCTTCCCAGCGCGCCCTTCAGCGTGCCCGCCCAGCGTGCCCTCCCAGCGTGCTCTCCCAGCGTGCCCTCCGATCGTCGCTCCGGCCACTCGCGCGCAGGGATCATGTAAGACCGCTTTGGGGCCTTCACTTTGAGATGCACATGTGTATATATATAGAGAGAGAGGGAGAGTGAGAGACAGAGAGAGCGAGAGAGAGAGAGAGAAAGAGAGAGATGTATCTCATTATTCCATAGTCCCACTCTCCCCTCACCCTTTTGTCCCTCCTGCTTCTTTCGCCTTCTCAGTCCTGGCTCCTCTCAGCGACCCTCTTTCTCTTCTTCGTACGGCAACTAGCGGAGACTCCGGCGGCGGCGACGACGACGGACGGGTGTCTCGAAGGTCTTGGTGATCCACGACGCCGGTGCCCACGGCCACTCCATGGGCTTCAACTACAACGGCAAGCCTAGGTCCGCGGAGTACCTCTACAGGCCAATTCCAGCGGCCCTTGCCGCACCCCGTGAATAAGGGAGGAGGAAGAGGACCAGAGTAGACCCACGATGCATCCTCAATGCTGCAGTAGTCCCTCTCGTCCCACCCACCCACCACACAAGTCCCTACAGGCCTCCTTTTCCATATGAAGAAGCGGACCCTGCAAAGGCCAGCATCTGATGGGAAGAGGACGAGGTGGAGGAGGAGGACGAGGATAATGATAATGATGATGAGAATGTCAGTTCACTAAGTGAAGGAAAATGGAGCCTTTAAACCGAGAGGGGGTGGATTCTTCCCTTCATGGGAGAGCCTCGCCTTCTCGGCCTTGGTTAAAGACTTGGGCCACAGACCTTGGCGGATCATGAAGGAGGAGGAGGACGAGGAGCAGGAGGTGGAGGAGGCGGGGGAGGAGGACCAGAGTAAGCCCAGGATGCGTAAACAGATGCTGCAACACGTCCTCCCGTTCGAATTCCACTCCTCATAGTTCCATGCAAGTTGGCGTGTCAACTTCGGGCCCTCAACCTTGAATGACGAGCGACCGGTCGGTCTGCCAGTCATGAGGGCGCCTGTTGCAAAGGATCCGTCCTCCACTCGAAGGACGCCCATTTTGAGAAGCGCATGCTCTCCATCTGTCTAAGCGATTCAGGATGTGAAAATCGTGGACGCATGTTCCGCGAAAGTCCCATGCGAGAGCCCTTCAAAGAGGCCCAGTTGCCCTCACTCCGTCCAAACGTTGCAGGGTGTCGAAATCATGGACGTATGCTTCGCAGAAGACTCGCTCGAGAGCCCCGTTTCGAAATAGGAGCCGCCCTCTATCCGCGGTAGCTATTGCACAACATGGAACGCCGGGCCATCGAGGTCGAGGAAAGGTCATTTGTTGTATTCAGATGCACGCGGGGCCGAGGGGAGACCCATTCGTGAAGGAATGTGCCCAGGAGGCTGCAGAGCCTGGAGGGTTCCTTTGGTGAGCGCGGTGGTGACATCCATGGCCGGTCCACGATTAGAGTTCCACTGGCTTCCAAACCCAGGATTTGTTTTACGGGTTCCTTGTCCAATGCCCCCCACCGTCTTGGAGAATATTCGCCATCCACTCGCGCAGCTAAGGAGACTTTGGACGTCGAGTATGCATGGCGCCAGGGTGACGGTACCCTTCTTTTGAAAACTACCCGCCCTTTATTTGTATTTTTGGCTGCGTACAGCGATGTTGTGCGGCGCCAGCATATCGAGATACCCATTGTGAAAACCGTTTCTAGTCCACGCGTCAGAATTATCTGAACTAATATGGTCCTTGAGGTTTCCTGTGTCGTCGGGGACAATGAAAATGAGGATGTGAGTGGTGTTGCTGCTGGTGGCGACGGCGAGCTTGGGAGCGCATAGAAAGGTGTTTTAGCGTCTGGGAGCGCCTTGGGGCGTCTTTGGGCGTTTGGTAGCGCATGGGGCACCTTGGGGACCAGTCCAAATTCGGAGTCGGCGGGGAGTGCCCGAAACGCATCCGCGCATCATGTATTTGCTATCGATGGATTGTTCTTTCTTTTTTGCCTGTTGTGTCCACGGGCTCATCGGGGCCAGGGGGTGGGCCGATGTTGAAGATCAGCAGATGCGCGCCGAATAATGTTGTCCCACGTTGGATGGTAAGGGCTGGTTCGGATGGATGTGCACCGCACTGTTCATTTTGCATAGGAGGGTGGGGTTGATTGGGTCGTCTGGACGTACACTAGCTACTATATATTGCACCGGATGGTGGGGGGTCAGTCGGATTGGTGTGTGCCACACAATTGTTTTCTATGTTTGCTGGAACGGTAAAGAAGGTTGGGTCTTATGGATGTGCGCCATGTATTTTTTCTCTAGAATGTTGAAGGTTGGGTCGTACGGGTGTCGGCTGACTTATGTTTGTTCCGCACGGTGGTAAGGGTTTGGTCGGATGGACGTGCGCCGAGTCACTATTGCATAAAGTTGGGAGGTTCGGGTCGTATGGATGCTCGCGACGCTGAGGGGAGTGCCACACTTCGACAACTTACCGTCCTCCATCTTTTTGAATGTTTGTATCTTGTAAGGCGAGTGTGTGGGGCGCCAGGGCGACAGCCACATTTTGAAAGCCACGTGGGCTTCACCTATGACACTGTTACAGATCTCCTGTTGCAGGACCATGCTTGGCGAAGAGGTCTCAGGCGAAACGCCCAGCCCACGGACACGTCCTCAAATGAAACGAGGAGGAGAATGGTCCTGGAGGATCGGCGTCCTGGAGAAATTCCCTGCCGGGGTCACCTCTACGTTTCAGTCCCCTGGCGTCGGGAGAGAGCCACGGCGTGTCGCTTTTGGTCGCGCGTTCTGCAGCCTGTTTGGGGCGTGTCGGGCTCGGGGGCCTTCGAAGGGGAAGGAACCGCGAGGACCCAGCTGGCCCGAGGGCTCGGGCCGCGGGTTTGGGGGGCCCACGTCGCACGAGAACGCAGTGGCGGAATGGCGGAGGTCGGGGTTGGGAGAGGGGAGCCCCTACCCAGAGCAACGATCTCACGGGATCGGGGTCCCAAGGCTTGGTTGGGAATGCGGGCCTCCACCCTCGAGGAGAGCCTGGATCATTCCTTAGTAGTGTTTCGCAAGAGGGCTTGAACGGCTGTAGAGAAGGACTCGTGAGGGATTCCCTCATGGGGGGGATGATGAGCCACAGATCGCCAAGAGCGGCAGCCGTTTCGCTTCGCGTTCGCCTCAATGCCAGCTACAGGTTTGGCCTGGACGGCCACGAGCCTTTGTAAAACACGCGTTACGGTGCACATGGCCGTGCCCTCACCCCTGTTCACTGCCACCGACCTCCCAGCTGTTCGACCCGCCCCTTTACCTCTGCTGCTGTGAGGGTGCCTATCTGTGGCACGTGCTTTTCTACTCCTGCTCCGGGCTTCTCCTCTCCGTGCCGCACTCCCCCCGTTCTCCTCCTTCGCCCCCTCGCCTCCTCAAGATCGGTCCGGACCGCGCCCCCCCGGGTCCATTGTATCTCGTCCTCCTCCTCCTCCTCCTGCTCCTCTTCTTCCTCCTCCTCCTCCCCCTCCTCCTCCACCCCTTCCTCTTGCCTGTCCTCCTCCACTTCCCCACCTCCTCCTCCTCTTCCTCGCCCTCCTCCGTGCTCCCGGAGCCGGTGGCCCCAGAGCGGGCATCCATTGGCTTCGTGCGGCGGAAACCGTGGAACCAATTCATCGTCGATTCCCCAGAAAAGATGGGAAAATATGGGAAGTGGGGGGGAAGACAGAAACCCAGAGAATCTAGGGAACTGTGGGGGATCTGGCCATTCGTGTCTATTTGTTTGTGTCCGCGCGGACTTCTTGGATCGGCGCTGGGCCCCCCCTCTCCGCGGCGCGCGGAGCGCGCCGAGGCGCTGCGCTGGCGGCGCCGGCAGGGGGGCTTCCAGCGCAGATCCGGGTGATCCGCGCGGGCCTCCGCACGTTGCTATTTCTGGCGTTCCGAACGCCATTTCTTTAACAGAAAAACACACAAAAAACACAAACACAAAACAACACAACACAACACACACACAAAAACACAAACTAAGCACAGAAAAGCACCAGACGGAACATAACAGACACAAAAAAAACAAAAACCATTCACATGCACACAAAAATGACTAAACTACGGCTCTCACTTTGCACACCTAACGTTCGTTGCTTCTCTAGAAAGCCTGTTCGAACATCCGACGCCTCCTTCTCCCTCCTGGCCTCCCGCCCAAGAATATCATGCCAGCTGCGGTACGACTTATCTTAATACTATGCCACTTCTGTGGCAAACTGCGTGTGATCACGCTCGCCGCGCCCATCGCCGCGCTTCTCCACACCAGAAGTGCCTCGCCGCTTCCAGTCACGCCTTGAGAGCAACGACCCATCCAGAACACGTCTGTGGTACATCCCGCTTCTCCTCCTGCTCATACTACCCTCAATGATAGGCAGCCTCGCCCTCACCTTTGCTGATTATGAAGTGCCGTTGTGTCCGGTAAGTGCCGTTGGGTTTGGCAGGCCCCGCTGGGACTACTAGCGAACCCTCGGGGCGACGGGGCCTGGGGGCGCTGGAAGCGCTAATTACCTGCTTCAACACAGCTGCGGCACAAGCGCTGCAGACGGCTTGCGATTCTGCGCCTTTTGCCGGCCCTCTGGAAGCGCTCCTTGGGCATCCGGCCCCTCCTTCTCCCTCCTCCTCCACTTCCTCCTCCTCCTCCTCCTCCTCCTCCTCCTCCTCCGCATCCTTGTCTTCTGTCGTGCCTTGATTCACTCCCGCCTGCGAACGGCGGCGCGACGTTCACAACGGGCAGCTGCGCTTCTGCGCGGTCGGCCACATGCGCCGCCCCCGCCTGGTGGATAGGTGGATGGATCGGACCTCTCCCTCCCCCCCGTCCTTGGTGGGTGCGCTCCTCCTCCTCCTCCTCCTCCTCCTCCTCCTCCTCCTCGTCCTCGTCCTCCCCCTCCTCCCCTCCCCGCCCCCTGACATTCTCGAGCCCTGGCGTGGCTCGCAGAAGATCGCAGAAGGCCGACTTCGTGGCCTCGGCACCGCGCCGTCTCCGGACCCGCTCTCCCGCCGAGCCCTCGCCAGCAACAGGGGGCGGCCCCCGCCCTCGCCCAAGCGCCGCCAGCATCCGCCCCCCTGAGACTTGGGCGGCGCAGGGTCATCACAGATCGATCCAGCTCGACAAATGCTGCAGAACAGTGGGGTCTAGGGCTCCGGTCGTGATTCTTCGCGATGTTGCGATGATGTCGCAATGCGGGCTCTCAAGGCATGCGTACCAAATATGAAGCAGGCTTGCCGGCAGGTGCCGCACATAAGTTGCTTAATTGTCCCCCGATAGCCCCAAGCACCCACAGAAGGTCTCGGGTACAGTAGGTCCCTGAAATATGGACGAAACATGCTCAACACCTTTTCTTGCGATTAGCCATATGTGCCCAAGGCAGTCAGCGAAGAGGACGGGGGTCCTGGAGTTTTTGTCGCCTGTTTCGGGCTCCTGGGGCCATCCCTAGGCGCCCCTTTTCCGAGCCTGGGACTCATCCAAACCCACAGCGTGGAGGGTCGATCTTGAGACCTTGAGTGACCTCGGCAGGCTGTGGATGTGGGTGTGCTCGGGCCCTGGGCGTGGGCAACAACCTATCCCAGCGCCATCGATAGTTGGCATGCCGAATCGTCTACTTAGATGATCCCGGCACGATGTGCCAGCCCTCAGGCCGGCGCGTGCCCAACGTCGTCTCGAGCCCGATCGATCTGTGAGGTTCCCGGGGCCCCGTGCCATGTGGTGTGGTAGCTGTCGACCACCTCCTCTGGGGTGACGCCGTTGTGCCGTGTGTTGTGGTAGCTGTCGATCACCTCCCCAGGGGTGGCGCCGTTGTGCCTTCTGCGCAGGATGACGTGGTCCTCTCCAGAGGTGACGCCCTCGTGCCTTGTGCGCATGATGACATGGTCCATCATCATGCCGTGGTTCCGAGCCGGATCGATGCGTGATGATCCCACCGCCTGCTAAGGCCCCGCCACACGCGCTGCGGACACGAGGGCCGCCAGCTATTCCCGGAGGCCTGGAACGTATCTTAAGTGTGAAAGCTGGTTTTGGGAACCAGAAAGATAGTTTCAGTGGAAGCACAGCTGGGGAAAAATGAAAGACACCGTGTCGTATAACACAGGCCACGAATCACGAACCACGAGCTAGAGCTACGAACCATCAAGCACGAAGCACCACTGACGAGACACGAGTCGCGTTTTACGACATGCGAATCGTCCAATCGCATCATGATATCATTCTCGTCCTACAGAATGCCCCCCCCCCTTCCTGCTTCCCCGCCCTCCTGGACTGGGCCCCAGCGGCGCAGTGAAGAGACGGCCCTCCCGCCCCGCCCCCAATTTTAGGACGCAGTTCCTGGGAGGCTAGATTCAGTATCGGCGTGGGCATCGAATCCGTGATCGAAGACTAGCCTGATTAATCCAGCTTGCGGTTCAGAAGTTTGGCTCAGCGTGTCGCGCCGCTGGTTCTGGCCCATCACGCCTCGGCGCGACACGCTAACCATTTTCCGTCCCCGAGCGTCAACGTCCCGAGCTGTTCGCAGCCTCCCGCCCAGCGTGGCGGAGCGACACGCTATCCGCTCAGAAGGCACAGCGTGTCTCCGGGGCCGCCGCGACGCGTTGAGCAAAACATCCCGACCGCAATCCCTGCTGATTCCGTGGCTCATGCGGCCTAGTTTGACTTTGAGGCCCAGGGCTTCATCTGGGCTCGTCTGGCACGGTGGCTCGCCAATCATGCCCCAAAAGGCCGCTGATCCCTCCCACGAAGTCCTCCCGCGAGCTGCCCCCCCAAACCCAGCGAGGCCCGACGGGAGCGTCCTCCAGATCCGCAGGGCCGAGGACCTCGGCGACATCTTCGCCACCCTCGACTTCGACGCCGCGGCCAGCAAATTCGGGCGGCGCGGCCCGGCCGCTGCGCTGCTGTCGCTGGCGAGGTCGCTGGCGGCGAACCCGATCTGCACCGCGGCCGTCGCCGCGGGCGTGGGCGCAGCGCTGGCGCTGAGGCTCGGCAGGCGGTAGCTCAGCACATCGGAAATGGGTGCGGAAAGGATGGGGACGAATACAGACAGCAGTTCTTGCCCATTTTGGGCAGGACTCGCCGTCGGCGTCGCCGCGGACGTGCAGCCGGTAGCACAGAACGTTAGAAAAGGGTGCGGGAAGGATGGGGACGACTTCCGACAGCAGTTCCTGTCCATTTGTGGCAGGATTCGCTGTCGGCGTCGCCGCGGACGTTGCCCAGTCCAGGCAGAAGGTCGCCCGCCCGACAGTGGCCGTTGTCGGTTGTGGGGCAGCAGATGCTGCTCTGCATCGTGCCCATGTCTTTGGTGCCCGTTGTGGGCGTACCCAGTAGCGGGCCAGAGGTGACGAAGGAGCAACTGCACAGGCACAAACTTCCGAAGGGCCGCCTGGATCTCTGGACCTGGTCCAGGCCCCCCTGGCGGCGCCTCTGGCGCCGCCCCCGGCGCGCTTCGCGCGCCAGGGATGGGGGGGGCATGCCCCCGACGCCGTAATTTGTCGCATCCCCGACCCGCTCCCTAGGACCAGCTTTTCACCCTGATTTGTTTTGTTGACAGCTGTACTTGAGGCTGGTGTTCGCGACTCGCCGCTGACGGCTACACCATCTCCTCCACCTTCCGGGTCTTCGCCCCCGGCCCCGTCCACGGCGTACCTTCTCCTGTGCAAGCTCTTCGGCACCGCCTGCACCCCGGGCTCCACCTGCTCCGGCCGCCTGAGGCCCCGCCTTCCTGCGCCCTGTCTCCCTAAGTAATGCTGCGCGTAATCCGCATAGCTTTTAGCGGAAGAGGTTCGCTCTCGCCCCGCCGACCAAAAAAAAAGATGTTGACAGTCCCAGGGTCCAGCGACGGCCCCCCCCAGAGGCCGCACGCGGCCAAACGGTCTGCGTCGTGACCTTGTTCGCGCCGCGAAGGGGTCTCGGTCGGACGGGGCCAGGTCGAGGAGATTTCCGTTCCAGAGCGTTCCGGAACTCTCTGAGAGCGTTCTGGAACGCTCTGAGAAGGCCGCGGCGCCCGATGCAGCCTCCAAGGCCGCGGGAGCTCAGAGATTCTCGATCTGCCCTCGCCCGAATCTATCCTCGTCCTGGCGTCGCAGTGGTCTCGGTCCAGCGGCGACCCAAGGAGTCCGCGCGGACTCCCGGCAGTTTGCGCGAGGGCAGCCGCTCCCTCTCTTGCGGAGGGCGCGGAGCCCTTCGCGCCCTCGAGCCGCCCGCGGCCGGGGAGGCGGGGGGCAGGGCGCTCCTCAGGAGGAGAAGGAGGAGGAGGAGGAGGAGGAGGAGGAGGAGTAGGAGGAGGAGGGAGAGGAAGAGGAGGAGGAGGAGGGAGGAGGAGGAGGAGGAGAGGAGGAGGAGGAGGGGGAGGAGGAGGAGGAGGAGGGGGAGGTGGAGGAGGAGGAGGAGGAGGAGGAGGAGGAGGAGGAGGAGGAGGAGGGGGAGGGAGAGGAGGAGGAGGGGAGGGGGATGGGGGGGCGCTCCTCCTCTGGAGGAGAAGGAGCGCCCCTCTTCCAGGAAGGGGGGGGCTCATCCTCCAGCCGGGGGGGGGGGGCTCCTCCTCCTCCAGGCGGGAGGGGAGGCGCGCTCGTCCTCCAGGGGGGGGGGGTCGCCTCGCCTCGCCTCGCCCCGCGCGGTGCGAGGGTGCGAGGACGGGAGGCCCAGGTTCTGCGGCCAGCTTGCGCGTGGAGCGTGCTTCGGCCGAAGAAGGGGAGGCTGCATGGCCATACGTTTCTCGGAGGTGCGCACGGATTTCTTGGATCGTCGCTGGGCCCCCCTGCCGGCGCCTCGGGCACCTCCCCTGGCGCTCTCCGCGCGCCACGGAGGGGGGTCAGGCGCCCGTGTAAGAGGTTGCGAGGGCCTCCGCACGCTTGTGTCTGTGCAGTCTCCTCTTCTTCCGGAGAGCTGGCGGGCCGGCGGGCCGGAGTAGATGTCCGAAGGCCCTGGGCCTGGGAACTTTTTGCAGCCTGTGATGGTCTCAGCTTGTGGGGCTAGTTTTTCTCGGCTGGTCTTGTTCGGGTCGAGCGGATCTGGCGACCGCTCGTGGCGGACCGTCAGCCAAACTACAGCCCACGTGAGTGCCTCCAAACAGAAAAGGGCGGCGGGTGGGGAACATGGATGAGGCAACGAAGAAGCCGAAGTACATGATTAGGATCGCGCCAGGACATGAGACGAGCTTGTTGTTTACGCAGGAGTAATGGTGTTGGAGAGAGCCCGTCAATATGTTCATGGTGATGTATCTCTGCATGTATATATATATATATGTAGGTGCTACATTTCCTCAAATTTTGATATCTAAATACTGCCCGCCGCATACCTTCCTTTTTCGACTCTCCACCCTCTGCTTTATTATGTCGCATCTCCACTTGTAGTTACCCGCTTTATGATTTCTGCTTTCGTACTCTGGTCCGTACTCTTTACTGTCCTATTTTGGCGCTCTCCTTGATGCACGGGTTGGTGCAGGTCTCGCCTGGTGCGCGCCTGTAGGCGCATCGTGGACGCCCCATGTTGAGGTTTCACCTGCTGCCAGTCCGTGACCCCATAGTGGGCGCCCCCAAATCTTGCACCACGTAGACTCTACCACCCTCTCCCCGCGGACTTGTCGTCCCCCTGGGACATGGCAGACTATTGATTTTTTTTGCCCCATCAATTACTTTCCATACGAACTCATACCGTCCCAGCCCTGCCGGTATCGACCCCCCCCCTTTGGCCAGCCAGTAATTATTTGCGCGTGCACTCGTTCATCTCATACATACTTGTGCTCTATAAGCCCGTGCACAGCATTGCGCACCATCTAACCGCGCGAACCTGTCGCAATAATTTCAAGCACACTACGTAGCTTCGTAATCGTTTAGCATACAGATCGACAAAACAACTTAGGTTGTCCATCACGGATCTCTGAGATTTCCCGCCTGCGCGCATGTGCTGAAATCGTAGAGTAATTCTCGTTCTAGCGATCTCGTCCAGAAGCCGCATTCTCATGTCTCCACGTGGTGCATCCGCGTTGAATGCGCCCAGCGCAAGAATGCGTATCCGATAGTACCATGCGGGCCAAGCCATCATAATATGAAGCCTTCCCTGTAAGCACATCTGAACAACACATTGCTTCTCAACAGCAGCTCTGCCAGGTTTCTTGCATTTCCTCGTGCGCGCACTTCCGCACCATTACCCTCATCAGCGCTGCCGCATCACCGCCGTTATCGTCATCGCCATTCGCCGCCATTGGCGCCATCATCTGCCAATCATTGTCATCACCGACACGTGGACACCATCATGACCATCATCATCTTTATTATCATCATCGTTGTCACACGCATCAGCGCAGTCATTGGCTTTGTCGTCGTTGCCGTCATCGTTGCTACCACCCTCGCTGCTATCATCACCGTTGCCGCCGTTGTCGGTGTCATCATGGTACTGCGCCCGCCCGAGTCACCGACCCGCACTGCAGCACCCTCACTGAAGTACCCGTACTGCGCCCGCCCAAGTCACCGACCCGGCCTTTGAGATTTGCTGGGAAGTTTCCACCAGTACGCGGCATCGCGGCCGCATGGGTTGTGCCAGGCCATCTGCCGCTCGGCGCGCGAGCTTGCCCGCGCCAGAGCAGCCGCAGAGATGCGCCAGCGAGTGCCAAGTAGTCGCCGCAATCGCGACCGCAGTCGAGTTGTGCAAAACATGCTTCGGGTTGGAGGGTAGGATGTTTGCGCGAGCACTGGCATTGACAACGTCAAGTTCTGACAGGCGGATTGCACCACGTATGTTGCACAACATAGCGTGAAACACATTGGCACTAAGTAGCGCATACAGCACAGCTTGCGCCACACTTTGTCCACCTCGCGTATTGTACAACATAACTGACACCACCGAGCGTGTACAACTTATCTATAGCCACATACTTTTACCACACAGTTTGCACCACGTAGCTTGCGCAACATAGCTTGCAACACAACTTTCGCTCGATTGCGTCAAATAGCTTACGCATCTACAGTCGCCTGTCGTTTGGGATTCACGCTGGTGTGCGCCTGTGTACGTATACACGTATGTATACACATATCCATCGCCGTTGGCCCGTGCGGTCTGAGGCGGAACCTTGAGTGGCAGAACGCGCTGCCTAGGGATTTCCATAAATCCTGCATGGTGCACCCAAAACCGTGTGAATGTCAGAAAGGATGCGCAATTGACGCCTCACCCAAGCGGCCCACAGACGAACTCCTAGATCCAAGAGCAGCTGGAGACTACCTGCATGTTCTTTCATCATGGCCTCAGGGTGCGCCTACTGGGGCCTCGGGGGAGCGAGCAAACACGTTGGAACACAGATCTGCCGGGGTTAGGGAAAGAATCCGACGCTTGCAGTCAGCCTTCAGATTGCTTCCCAGGCCGTCTAGGGAACCCCAAGAGACCCCCAGGAGCCACAGAGGATTCTTCCAGTTGGGCGCCAAATAAGAGATTGTCCTGCCAGTGGGCGGCCCACGAGAATTCCTTGTCGCCCTATGTCCCGCCGAGCCCTGGGGCACCCAACGAAGCTTAGAGTCGACGAGGGATGCCACCCTAGGTGTCTTATGGCAAGTTTCCTGGACGTGCGTGCTCACGGCAGGACAAGCGCAAGGCCTCCCTTGATGGTGACCCCCCCGGCAGTGCCCGGTTCCCGTCGCCCGCAGGAGCCCTCTGCCAGCGACGTGCCAGCGAAGCGCAAGGCGCGCGCGCGCGGGCCCGCGGGCGCATGGTAGTCGTCGGAGGAGTGCCAGGTCGGGACCGCGGAGTCGGCCAAGTTTTCTGGATGTGTCCGCACCCGAAAGAAGGCCTGGGTTGCAAGACAAAACGCAGCTCCTTACACGCCTCGCACATTGGGACAAGCGCGAAAAAGCTTTGTGTGTGGGGTGGACAGAGAGAGGGAGGGGGGGAAACATGTCGTAGCAGCTCAGCCCAAAGCTGCAGGCACTAGCCTCGATCCGGCGACCCTGTCCTGAGCTGCAGGCACTATCCTCAGGCCTGAGCTGCCGACCCGCCTCGCATGCCTTGC